CTTACGGTATTTGGGGTTTGAACACACACGTGCCTGGTGTGAGTTTTAAGCCGCTAGGTCCAGGACTTGAACCATCGTCGAGTATGTGGGAGTACAGCGAAATAGTCATTACATCGTTTGTTGCTCCCTCATTTTATAATTTTTAACAAACTAGAATTAATGATTTAAATAAGCCATTTAATTCTCAGGAAATAAAAAATTTACTAAGAAGAAAATATTTAAAGTAGATGTTTGGTACTCTTTGTACATGAGGAAAAAACATTTTATTACTCAAGCCACTGTTGTTGGAAATTGCATTTCAAAATGTTACTGTCCCTCTACTCCTGTGGTGCCCTAATTTAAATAATATAAGATTAGTATAAAATAAGGAAAAATGAATATTTAAGAACCTTTCCAGTAAATAGCCATAATAAATAGAGGTTTGCTGCATGTGGTCACTGGAGAGACAGAGAGACAGAAAGTGAGAAATCACCCTACAGGGGAGATGGCCACACCATAGACCCTTCTCCTCCATTCTCCTCTCAGGATTTTGGCACAAACGTACACACATCAGGCATGAGTTTATGTAAATCATTGTCAACTGCGTGAGAGTTCAGCAACGTCACCATTATGCCATCTGCTTGTCCCTTGATCCCAATATGTTTAATTTGTAATGAAAAATAAATGTTTTTCGTATCTCAGGTTAATTTTATACTAAAGTATATTAAATTTATCTACAGTTATTTGGAGACTGCTGCCTATGTTCATTTACTTTTTATTCTGGGGAATGCCTGAAGATAACATTTCTAGCAATTCGGTGGCAAGAGAATGTATATACATCTACAAGGTGAGATAAACATTTTCTTTCTTATATCTGTCTCTTTTAAGATATTATCTTGTGCTGCTAATATACATAACTTTTTTTTTGGCCAGAGAAACAGAGGGAGAGGAGAAAGCACCCCCTGTGGGAAATGGTCACACTTGAATTACTTCTCCATATTTCCCTCCTTTTGAGATTTTGGGCACACACGTATATGTGCTTCATGTGTTTCTTAAGCTGCCTCATTCAGGACTCTTAACTGCATGGTTAACCATGTGGAATCTGGATGCATTTTTCACTAAGCCTTGGAACTGACCCCATATTAAGATTTTTAACTATTAATGTGAATTTCAATTTCTGAGGCTTTACAGAATCTTTTCTTCCCATCATTCACTACTAAACATTTTCCTTATGGTTATGACTTTTCTTGTTTGAAGACTATAAACGTAATGATTTTTGGGGCTGGCAGGTGGTGTGGTAGTTAAGACGCTGGACTCCCATATGGCAGACTATGGTTGAGTCTTGGACCTGGAGGCTTGCTTTCTCACTTTCCCTTTTTCTTATCTTCTCTCACTTTGGTCAAATTAAAATAACTCCCTAAATAAATAAATAAAGTTAGATAAAATAATTTAAAAAATAATTGTTTTGGAAAATAATTTAATTGAAATTTTAAAGGGACGTACTTTTTTTTTTTTTTAATGGAAAGAGACTTTTGCGATAGGGCACATGTGCTCATTGGAGAGAGAGAGATGGAAACAGAGAAAGTGAGAAATCACCCCCCAGTGGAGATGGCCATTCCAAAATCCCTTCTTCATCCTCTCAGAATTTTGGGCATGGCATGCACATGTGCCCAGCGTGAATTTTAGGCCTGTGGGTCCAGGACTCAAACCGTGGTTAGCAATGTGGGAGTCCAGCATCCCAACCACCACACCACCTGCTGGCCCCAGAGACACCCTTTTTATTTATGTATTCTTTAAAATATTCTTTAATTTTATTTATTTATGATTAGTCTTCAATTTGGACAGAGACACAGAGAGAGAGAAAGAGGGAGAAAGCAAACCACCAGGTCCAAGATTCAAACCATGGTCGGCCATGTGAGTGTCCAGTGTCTTCACCACTACCCATGCTGACCTCAAGATATACTTTTTAAATGCTCATTTAAAAAAAATTTTTTTTTTTTACGTTCTTTTCAGGAGATAAAAGGAGACAGTTATTTGTATTCTCATCATGGTTTTCATTATACTGGTATTTCTCACCCTTAGCCTTCCAGCCAGCCAGGATCACAGGCTTATGCAAACGGGTGTTGGCTTGCTTCCATTCAACCTGGAATCCAAATTCTGGTCCTCAATGTGGTTTCAGCATTGGGGAGTGGTGCGCTACTTCCTGCATCACTGTGGCTAGGCCTCAACTGTTTTTATTAATTAAGAATAGATTTATTTGGGTAGCCTATGACTTGGTGGTTAAGGTGGCTGGATCTCATAAAGCAAAAGGCCAAGTTCCACGTCTGGCAGTTTATAAACCATTTCTCCTAAAACGGGAAATGGAGATTACAGTGTGATCATCCCTCATGGATGATACTTTCTCATTTTCCCTTTCTCTCTGTCTCTGGTGAGCATATATGCCTTCAAACATGTTTGCTACAGGTCACATATGCTTGGTGCAAACAGACAGAAAGAGGGAAAGTAAGAAATCACCTCCTTAGGGGGAATGGTCACCTCACTATTCCTTCCTCATTCTCTGCTTGGAATTTGGGCATTCATATACACATGCTTGGTGTGAAAAATAGGTTTACTCTAAAAAGCCCAGTAAAACAAACAAAAAATGCATTGCATGTTTACAATGCCTAAGGAAGACTGGTAAGATGGAGTGTTTTTTTTGGTTGTTGTTATCTTTGTTTTTATTTATTTTATTTTTCCTTTTTTTTTTTTTTTTTTGAAAGATTTTTTCTTTAGGTCATGTTTGCTCACTGGAAAGAAAGAGAAAAAGCAAAAAATCACCCCTCAGAAGAGATGGCCAAGCTGTAGTCCTCTCTCTCCTCTATTCTCTCGGGATTTTGGTCACACCCACGTGTACCTGGCGTGAGTTTCACGCTGCTGAGTCCGGGACTCAAATTGTAGTCGGACAGAGCACCTTACCACTACACCACTTGCTGGTCCCCCTCTGTACATTTTTAACCCCTGTAAAAATGTTTGCTGTTATGTAGAAATGTTTGTCAAATCTTTAGTAGGAGCCAGTATATTTGGGGTTGACTGTGGAATGTGGCCTCACAAACAAAACTCTCAATACTTATCAGATAAGAACTCTTGTATTTTTAAATAGTGTTTTTATATTCTTTCTCAATAGTTTAACAAGTTTAAAGCTCTAATAATTTAATAGGTGTCATTTAGATAGAAAATGTTTAACTAACTGGCAGCTTCCCTTCTGTGTCCTGGGTGAAACTTCCAAAAGGTTACTGAGAAATCTTCTAAGTATATGTACAACTATAGGAATGATTTAATTTTTTTGTGATGGACTATATATTAATTTAAAAGTTATTATATGTCCTATTTTTAAGTATTTCATTACTGTTTTAGATCGTTGCCATTCCAAGTTCATTGGGCACAACAAAACTGTCTTCTGTGTAGTCTAACTCCTAAATGTGAATCAGTAAAATCAAGAGGAGCTTTAATTTCTGCCTTTTCAAGAGATGGCCTTACCTTGGCAATAACTCTTAATCAGAAAGACCCAAAGGTCAGTAAGTATAATTTGTCTTAGAAGTATAATCTATTATATCTATGAAAGAAGGAATTCAGTCTTGAAGAATTTTTTAAAAAATATTATCTCACGTTATTTAAATTGGTGTTTTCTAATCTAGCTTGACATCGTGGGTTGGTAAAGTTACTTAAATTAGATGCCATACATTTTGGAAGTTGGCCTTTAGAAGTGAAAAAAGGATAAGAGAAAAGGAAGGAAGAAAAGCAGAGTGGGAACTGATGGTCTTACAGTGGAGTAAGAAGAAAAGGTTTTAGGGGTCAGCATTGTCTTGTTTGTTGAGAACGATGCCTGATACATTTTAAAAATGTAATAATAGATCTCTTAAGTCAGCAGAATTTTAAGTAACAATTACGGTGTTGAATGAAACAATTTTAATGGTTTTATTGTCTTAAAAAAAAATCTTTCCAGGCAACTCAGGTATTATTTATAAATACGCTGAATTTTTCTACTCTCTATGGAAGCCTTAAAGGATGTAGTAATAAGAATCCTGTGGTTCCAGCTTCACTTATCAGGTAAGAACTTATATTTTTAAATAGTGTTTTTATATTCTTTTTCAATAGTTTAACAAGTTTAAGGCTCTAATAATTTAATAGGTGTCATTTAGATAGAAAATGCAACTTAATTTAGTACTGGTGCTTGATAATTTGTCTGAGTTTTTTCGTTTGTTTGTTTTGGCTTTTTTCTAGTATGCTAGGGTCTCACTGTGTTTGCAGTCTTCCTGCCTCAACCTCCCAGCTGGGATGACAAGTGTGTACCACCGTGCCCAGTTCCATCTCTCTCTCTCTCTTTTTTTTTTTTTGGGAGAGATTTTTACTATAGGATGCGTGCACTCGCCAGACAGACAGAGACAGACAGAGAGACAGAAAGTGAGAAATCACCCCCAGGGGGGATGGCCACGCTGCAATCCCTTCTCCTCCATTCTCCTCTCGGGATCTTGGGCATGCACGCACACGCGCCCGGCGTGAGTTTTAAGCCACCGGGTCCAGGACTTGAACCACGGTCGACTACGTGGGAGTCCAGCGACATAGCCATTACGCTAACTGCTGGTCCCTCTCTCTCTTTTTTTAAATTTGTTGGTATTTATTTATTTATTTTAGAGATTTTTGCTATAGAGCGTGTTTGCTTGCCAGAGAGATAGAGAGAAAGAAAGTGAGCAATCATCCCCCCAGGCGGGAGGGCCACGCCACAATCCCTTCTTCTCCATTCTCCTCTCAGAATATTGGGCATTCATGCACATGTGTCTGGTGTGAATTTTAAGCTGCTGAGTCTAGGACTCGAACCATGGTCAACTACATGGGAGTACAGTGATGTAACCATTATACCATTATACCATCTGCTGGTCTCAGATATTTATTTATTTTTAAATTTTGACCAGAGAGATAACAAGAAAGTGACAAAGTAAGCCACCAGGTCTGGGACTTGAACCATGGTTGGCCATGTGGGAGTCCAACACTTTAACCAACATGCCACCTGTTGCCCTTCCCCTCCCACTTCTTTTTTAAACAGAGTCTTATTTTGCCTAAATCCTTCATCCTTAGCCACCCCTAGTTGCTTGGATTAAAAACACAGCATGCCTGACGGTAAGGTTGGGTGGTGAATCAAACCTAGGCCTCCCATGTGGTCCCAGCCTGTGGACCATGGAGTCTTTTTTTTTTCTTTATTGGAGAGTTTTTTTTTTTTTTTTTTTTGTTGTGGGGGGGGGGGTTCGCCAGAAAAAACGAGAGAGAGAGAGAAATCCGCTCCACCCTCCTCCCCCTCACCCTCCAGGGGGATAGCCATGCCACAATTCTTTCTCCATTCTCTTCTCAGGATCCTGGGCATGCACACACATGCGCCCAGTGTGAGTTTAAGCCGCCAGGTCTGGGACTCGAACCGCGGTCAACTACATGGGAGTTTAGTGACATAGCCATTACGCTAACTGCTGGTCCCAGGACCATAGAATCTTAAACAGCATGTACCATTGCAATTGGGCCTGTGTTTGTTAAGTTCTTTTTTTACTTTTGCAGAGGGCATGTATGTTCACTGAAGACAGAGAGAAAAGGAGAGAGACTGAAGGAGGGGGAGAGCGGGAAAGTGAGAAAGCTCTCCATATAGTGTACGATTTTGCCACAGTCCCTTCACCACCTTCTCCCTCCTTTAGGGATTTTGGTCATGCACGCACATGTGCCTGGTATGTTTCTTGAGCTGCTGGGTCTGGAACTCAATGTGGAAATCCAGCTCACTTAATTAACCAGGTCACAGGCTGGTTTTGTATATGATTCATTCTAAATTTTGCTTAATGTAAGAAAAGCCTAAATACTCTAAGAAAAGGTCTGGTGGTGTGGAAGATAAACAGACTTTTCTCTAATTCATTTCTATGTCTTCTTAGGAGGAGCAGAATCATGAATAGGTTGAGATATATTGGGCTTAATTGGAGAGACTGAAATGCAAAGCCTGGATGGGAAGACTCATTTACTCAAGGAGGCTGGGGTGTTTATAGCCTTTTAAACAAAGATGGTGTCCTTGACATATGGATCAGCACCCACGTGGGTGGTTGCATATGAACTCCCCAGGACCTATGTGGGGGTTGTAGAGTAGGAAGATATATTTCTTCTTCCTTTTCGGAATACTTTTCCATGCCATTTCCAGAATTTTCTAGAGCTTTTCAGGTCCATCTATCCCTGCTTCTTTATTTTCTTTCCCTCCTCAAACGTTTCCATCTAAAGTGATTATTGGTTCCAGTTCAGTGGTCTGTTTGACTTAGAGTGGCCATCATTTTCATTAGGGAAGAGTTACTTTTGTTCTTATGAAACATTAATATTGCCAGATAGTTAAGTAGTTATACCAGCTTTAGGAAGAGGGACAGTCTGCTGCTGAATGGGACTCTTCACAAGTTACAGAGAGGATGAACATTACCTCAAAATCTGTCAGTAGATCTTGGTTGTGGACTTCAGTAGGATTAAAAATTATTCTAATTAGAATGTGAGGGCTGGTCCCATAGAGCAGTCATTAAGCACTCTGCTTAGGGAGCTGTATCCCACGTGGAGCTGGATCTCACACGACCTACTGCTGTTTAAGGTCTGGCTCTGGTGCCTTAAAAAATATACCAGGTGCATGTGTATACATGATCAGGATCCTGATGGGATAGAAAAATGGAGGAAAAAGGATTATAATTTGACCATATGTCATTGGGGAATGCTCTCTCTCTGTCTGGTAAGCACACACTCTTTGTCTACTAGAAAAATTTTGAGTACCAGCAGGTGGCGCAGAGCTTAAGGCTGTTCCATCCCACATGGCCAACTAAGCAGTGAGAGTCCTGGACCCCGCAGATTCAAAATCACACCCAGCACATGTACGTTTGTACCCCAAATCCCAAGAGGAGAATGGAGAAAGGGATTGCAGCATGGCCATCCCCTATGTGGGGGGATGATTTTTCACTTTCTCTCTCTCTCTCTTCCTCTGTCACTCTCTGGCAAACACACATGTCCCATAGCCCCCTAAAAAATTGTTATGGTTGTTATTGTTTAAAAATCTGAGTTAACTAAACAGCTCAACTCTTTAGGGAATGTTTTCATTTTCTGAACTGTTTATGAATCTAAATAAAGTCCTAATTGTAATATTGTTACAGCAGATGTTAGTGTGCAAACTCCTTTTTTTCTAGCAAGTAAAATTCATACAATGTATGTGGGAAATTGCCGACTATCCATTATTTTGCCCTTATTTTTTGAAATGTCTCACTTCTGGATGTAGCCCATTATTAATTTCCAAACACATTGGAGAGGATCCTTTCTGAACTTGTTGTCTCTTGCTTTTTCTAGGTCTTATTGGGTTGGTGACATCAGCTGGACTCATCACGGTCTTTTTCTGGCTTGTGTGTTAAAACGTGGTTCTCTGGTTTTATTAACCTCTCAAGGTGAATTGCTAACATTAATTACATTTGGTTGCTCCATAGAATTTGGGCCAGCAGAATTTATTCCTCTTCATCCACTAATAACATATAGGTGAGACATTTGAATTTCATTTACAGAAGTTTTTCTCTTTTCTGTTACTTTTTTAGTATATATTTTTGAAAGTATTTTTATCTTTCAAGTTGTCTTATTTTTTCTTTGAGTCTATCATCTCAGTATCTGTTTCTTATTTATAGTTTTCTTCTATTTTTTTTTTTTTGTGGCCTAATCCTGGTGACAATTTGACATTGTGATTATGTAAGTACAAACTATTTAAATATTCAGTAGAACTAAAAATTTTGATTTTTGGTGTCAAAGTTAATAGAAGTATGGTGTAACATTTGTTGTTATAAAAGGATAACACTTAGATAAATGAATAACTCAATATTATCTTGACATAGGCCAGCCTGTGACCTGGTGATTAAGGGAGCTAGGTTCTGGGACCAGCAGTTAGCGTAATGGCTATGTCGCTGGACTCCCATGTAGTCGACCATGGTTCGAGTCCTGGACCCGGTGTCTTAAAACTCACGCTGGGCGCGTGTGCGTGTGTGCCCAAGATCCCGAGAGGAGAGTGAAGGAGAAGGGATTGCGGCGTGGCCATCCCCTCTGGGGGGTGATTTCTCGCTTTCTGTCTCTCTGTCTCTCTCTGCCTGTCTGGCGAGCGCACGCGCCCTATAGCAAAAACCTCTCAAAAAAAAAAAAAAAGAAAAAACAAAACAAGTTTGAATCCCAGATCAAGCAGTTTTAGAAATATGTTGCGCATGTGTGCATGCATGTGCATGCCCATAATCTTGAAAGGGAGGAGAGAAGGGATTGAGGTTTGACCAAGAGTGCTTTTTCATTTTCTCTCTCTTTATCTTTCTCTCTGACCAGGACACATGCCCTTTGGCCAAAATTAAAAAAAAAAAAAAAAATCTTGACTAATGCTTTTATCTACTTTTGCCTCTAAGCTAAAAAGATAGAAGACTTTAAAACTTAGCCATATTGTAATTTTTGTTTTTATAAATTTTTGCCATTGGGCTCCCATGCTTACAAGAGAGACGTAGACAAAGGGAAAGTGAGAAATCGTCCCCAGGTGAGATGGCCCTGCTGCAAACCCTCATCCTCCATTCTCTCAGGATTTTGGACATGCACGGGCAAGCCATCGAGTCCGAGACTTGAAGGCAGACTTGGCCATGTGGAATCCAGCACTTTAACCACCACACCACCTGCTGGCCCTGCCACATTATAATTTTTAATTATAAAATGAGGTCGCAGTCTGGCTTTGGAATAAAGACAGATCAAGATTTAAATATCAGTTCCCTTACTTACTAGTTGTATGACATAGAGTTAGTTATTTATCAAGCCTCCATTTTTTAAAAACTGAAATGAGTATAACAGTAATTATCTCTTAAGGTTGAGGGAATAACATAAGATAATACATAATTAAAAATTACTTAGCATAGTTCTGGCATAAAGCAAGTGCTCGGTATTTGTTATCATTGATGTTAATCATATTATATGTTGCTGGATGCATGTACACAGCTGTTTACAAGATAGAAAAATCAGGAAAGACCTTGAAACTGATTGGTTCTCTTGGCTTATAGAAAGGAAACTGAGGTGGAGTGTGTCCTTGGTTATGCATAGCAAAATATGCCACGCTTAATTTTCAGCAGTATGCTTATAGAAAAATTGATCACTTCCTGCACTAAAAGTATTTTTTTCTTTATATTGTCCAGTCAGTAATTGAATGGAATTTTCTCACATTCTCCTTTATAATTATTATTTGGGGCCTTTCAAAGTTAATAGCTTTTTTTCTGAACACAAAAGTAATATACATTATTTTCAAAAATAAACTTAAATCAAATGTTATAAAACTAAGTAATTTGGTCAACAAAAAGCCTTTAAATCTTATACTTCAGCAATTACTAGCACTTTAATATTTTAAAATATTCACATACCACTTATAATAGTAATATTAGTTTCTTTTTTTAAAAACTATAACTTAGGGGTCAGCAGGTAGTTTGGTGGTTAAGGGCACTGAACTCTCACTTGGCTGACCATGGTTCAAGTCCTTGACCTGGTGGCTTGTTTCCATCTCTCCCACTCTGTCCCTCTCCGGTCAAATTAAAATAAATAAATAAAATAAAATAAAATAATTATTTAAAAAAACCCTATAAATTCTATGATGTATGCCTTTACCATTTTGCATTTTTTAAAGATTTATTTATTTAATTTTACTTGTTATTATTATTTATCTTTTAATTTGACCAGAAGGAGACAAAGTGAGAAAGCAAGCTGCCAGGTCTAGGACTTGAACCACGGTTGGCCATGTGAGAGCATAGCATAGCATCTTTACTACCACACAACCTGCTGGCCCCATTTTGCATTTTTTTAGACAGGGTCTGACTGTCATGGACCTTCTGCCTTAGCCTCTTGAATAGCTGGGACCACAGACATACACCAACACACATTTCTCTTTCTTTTTTTTTAAGAGAGAGATTTTTATTATAGGACACATGCACTCGCTGGAGACACAGAGAGAAACAGAGACAGAAAGCGAGAAATCACCCTCCAGCGGGAATGGCTATGCTCCAATCCCTTCTCCTGCATTCTCCTCTTGAGATCTTAGGTGCACATGTACCTGCGTCTGCAGCAGTTTTAAGCCACTGGGTCTGGGACTCGAATTGTGGTCCACTACATGGGAGTCCAGCGACATAACCATTACACTATCTGCTGGTCCCACTCTGTGCTCTTTTTTAAACAGGATTTCACTTTGTTGCCCAGGCCAGCCTCAAGCTTTTGATCCTAAGTACCTGGGATTAAAGATCAGCATAACCAGCCTTCAGGTTGGACTGGGAATTGAACTTGGGCATTCTGTGTGGTTTTTGACTGAAGAGCATTTCATCTTGGCAGAACCAGTCTGCTCTTTTGATTTAATAGTATATCTTATTATTATTTTTCAATTGCTAGAGGGCATGTGCACTTACCAGAGAAAGAAGGAAAAAGCACCCCTCAGTGGGGCGTGGTCATGCCACAGTCCCTTCTCCTTCATTTCTCTGTCCTATCAGGATTTTGGGGATACACACACACACACACACACCTGGTATTTGTTCAAGCTGCGGGGGCCAAGATTTGAACTGTGGTTGGCTACGTAGGGCGGCTCCATCCACACTAAGCTATGGGGCCAGCCTCTAACAGTTTATCTTACACATCTTTCTATGTCAGACATTATGTTTGAATGGTTCTGCAGATTTCTGTGGCCTGTACATTCTGTAATACATTCTATAATAATCAAATTCCTATGTTTAGCCATTTTGCTAATAAAAGAAAAATCTACAGTTGATGGGTTTCCTAACCAGAAAAAAAAAATTACAGTGTATTTTGATGATTTGTACCCTTTATATTTATAAAGTCCCAAACTTTGTAAGCTGCGACATTAAGTAATCAGAATCTGGAATACCATGATAGCAATACGTACATTTCTAAGGAAATACCATCACATTTAATGTTAAATTGATAAAATTTTACTCACCACCATCTTCCTTCTCAGTTTCTTTTCTTTCTCCTTAATAACAGTTATACTGATAGCTCACAATTAACTGTCTTCCTACAGAACTCACATGTATATGTATGAGGGGAAGTTAACTATTCTTTTTTTTTTAGAATTATTTTATTTAACTTTATTTATTTATTTATTTGTTTGTTTGTTTATTTTTAATTTGACCAGAGAGGGACAGAGTGAGAGAGAGAGGGAGAGAGAGAGAGAGAAAGTGAGAAAGCAAGCTGTCTGGTCTGGGACTCAAACCACCATTGGCCATGTGGGAGTCCAGCGCCCTTAACTACCATGTCATCTGCCAGCCCCGATTTAACTCTTTTTAATAGTAAAGATAACCACCTTAGTTTTTTTCCCTGTAATAGATTGTTAAGTTAAAAATAAAACATAGAAATCATTTAGGAAAAAAAGTAAAAAACTTGTAAACCTGTATAGTATTTAATCATCATGTTATGTTTTCCTGAAAGATACATATTTAATGTTTTTATATTTTTCATCTGTTTGCTTTTTTCATCATTCTGTAACTTTTGTTATTTTTAGGAGTTTTTTGGGGGATAACTATTATTGTTTACTTTAAGAGTTTTCTTAAACTAATTTTTGAATTTTAATGTTTGCTTGCTAGACCACAGCAATATACATTTCAAGATTCAAATAATTCTTTAGACTCATCAGCTTCTGATAATGATCCCATGAGACAGAGATTTTCTATAAAAGCACATTCACGGTTCCCATACCTCATTATATCTGACGGATACATGATCACAACTCTTCGATTTATTGATAACCTATCTCCATCCATGCTTATGAGATCACTTCTACTTGATTCAACCCAGAGACTTGAGAAAACATATCAAAGTATAATATCGTCTAAGGTATAGTGCCTTTTTTATCATGATAAAAGTTACTTTCTTGTTTTTTCAAATGCAAAGCTATACTAACAGTAACGTTCTTGACTTGTGTATAATTATTATTTATAGAGTTTTATTGTTTGTAATAAAATTAAAGTTTTGCTTTTGGAAATCTTTGATCTTTTATAGCCAAAAGGAAAAGGCCTGAATTTGCAATCACTGGATTCTCTTAGGTCTAGCCTGTTAAAACATCAAAGAAATGAAAATTCAGCTGATTTCACCATTCCCCGATTCCTGCAGGCAGAAGAAGCAACAAATTTAAATGAGGACACAGCAGATTTTCAGGTACTTCATAGCACTGTTACTTTGAACCATTTACATATTGACTTTATTCTAAGAAATATATTTTATCGCTTGTTAATGAGAAGAGACATTTGAGAACACCAAAGTAATTCTACTCTCCCCCCACCCCCCACCCTCCCCCTATTAGAGGGTGTGTGCACTTGCCAGACAGAGGGCAAGAGAAGGCACTTTCAAGTGGGGCATAGTCACACCTCAATTCATTTTCTTCAGTTTCTCCATTCCATCAGGATTTTGAGCATACATGCACACAACACAGACACCGGGCATGTTTTTTGTTGTTGTTCCCATAGGGCATGTGTGTTTACTGGAGAGAAACAGAGAAGGAAAGTGAGAATCACCCTCAGGGGGAATGCTATGGCACAATCCCTTCTCCATTCTCCTCTCAGGATTTTGGGTATACATGCAACACGTGCCTGGCATGATTTTCAAGCCACTACTTCTGGAGCTCAAACCACAATCAACTATGTGGGAATCCAGCCACCTTAACCACCACACCATGTGCTGACCCCATAGCTGACATGTTTTTCATACCTCTGGGGCTGGGATTTGAAATATGGTTAGCTATGTTGGCTCCAGCTCCATATACAGGGCACTTACTTAAGTTTTACGATATCAGGCCAGCTATTCTTTAGCAATTTTTTTTTTATATTAAACTTTATTTAAATTTTCTATGAGAGCAAAAGAGACAGAAACAGGCACTTCCATCAAGGTCTTCACACTGTTCTTCTCCCTCAGTTTTAGCTGGTCTGGATCACAGGTGTGCATGCATGCCTGGTGTGCTCAGGGAGGTCCCAGGACATGAATCCAGGTCTTTCCATGTTTGTCCTGTTGCAGTACTGCTGTACCACTGCCTAGTCTGAAAGTGATTCTACTTATAAGGTATTAAATGGTACTAAGTGTGATTTTGTTTTCCTTCTCGTTTTAGGAATTTGAAGCAGAAGAAACTAGTGAAGGGAAATATTTTCCAAATAGTTTGTTTCCTTTTTGGAACCAAAAAAATCCAATGTCTAGTACTGTGAGGGAAGGAAGATTGGAATTTTCATCTATGTTTGATACGATACATGCAAAGGATGATTCTGAAGAGACAGATAGAACCATTACGGAACTACATTCTATCCAGAAAAATCTACTTGCAGCATGGACTGTAGGCATTTCAAAAAATGTAACAGAAAGAAGTTTAATGTTAAATTACACAGTAGTTTGCATTACTCATTTTTTTTACATTCTTCAGTTTATAAAATGTCCTTTCCCCAAACTTGACCATTTTTTAACCAAGAGCCCAAGACATAATGCATGGATACTTTGTATCTTTCAACTTTTTCATCAGTGTTTGTCTATCCAGTACTGGGATATGAGATACAAGCAAGATTTGAGACATTTGATAAAGCTAACATCAAACACCATACAGCTTTTGCTGACTCAGCAACAAAAGGATCAGTTCTTAGAAAAACTTTTAGCCTGTTTTTACTTGCTTGAAATGGTAGTTGGCAGCTTAAATAGAATCTACAGTCTTCAGCATGAAGTTATTTCAGCATCAGCTGATGGCAGTAAAACAACAGATCAAGACTCAATGGTGATACCTATTCTTCAGATGGTCCAAGACAATGGTTCTGAGGAAGATTGGTCTTGGGACTTACCTCCCAAACGTCATCCTCAAATAAGTCTTGTTCAACAGCCGGGATATAGGTACAATTACTTTTATATTAGGATACCATTAGCATTATAGATTTTTTACTTTAAAAAAGCCCTATAATTTTTTTTTTTTTGGGGAGGTTTTTTTTTTTTTTTCATAGGGTGCGTGTGCTCGCCAGCCAGACAGAGAGAGACAGAGAGACAGAAAGCGAAAAATCACCCCCCAGGGGGGATGGCCACACCGCAGTCCCTTCTCCTCCATTCTCCTCCCGGGATCTTGGGCACGCACAAACACGTGCTTGGCGTGAGTTTTAAGCCACCGGGTCTGGAACGCGAACCGTGGTCGACTATGTGGGAGTCCAGTGACATAGCCATTACACTAACTGCTGGTCCCCCCCAAAAAACTATAATTTTCCATACTGTATAACTCATCTTTCTTTTTTCTTTTTTTTTTTTTTTCTCTATACTATGTGCCCTTTGTAAGAGGGAGTGAAAGTGAGAAATTAACCCCCTCCCAGGGGAATGGCCATACTGCAATCCCTTCTCTTTAAGTCTCTTCTTGGGATTTTGGGCACACATGCACAAGTGCCAGTGTGATTTTAAACCGTCAGGTCTGGGGCTCAAATCATGGTTGGCCAGCCCTTCTAATTAACCACCACAACACCTGCCAGCTCTGACATGGGTTATGTTTGATAGGGTCTTGTCATGTCATGATCCTCCTGCCCAACCTCCCAGTTAGCAAGGACCACAGGCACGTGCCACTCTGCCTCTTGTATGGCCTCAGCCACCATGCAAGTGGCACCTTCTGCTTGTGTCACTGCCAACTAGTCCTATTACTCTTTTTTTTTTTTTTTTTTGGAGAGGTTTTCGCTATAGGCACATGCGCTCGCCAGACATACAGAGAGAGACAGAAAGCGAGAAATCACCCCCCAGGGGACATGGCCATGCCACAATCCCTTCTCCTCCATTCTCCTCTCGGGATCTTGGGCACACATGCACACGTGCATGGTGTGAGTTTTAAGCTACTGGGACGCGAACCGTGGTCGACTACATGGGAGTCCAGCGACATAGCCATTGCGCTAACTGCTGGTCCCTTACTCATTTTTTTGATCATTGGACTTTGTACTATATTTAAACCTGTTCAGTTTGTAAATATGTTATTACATCAGTGAAGAACACAGGCAAAACAATAGGCTAAGACGGGGACTAAACTAGTTCTTAATACTAGTCTGAATTTGTTTTGATGATTACCAAATTCTGTATGCAGGTTGGTTGTTCTCTGGAGAGTATTATACAAAAAAACTTTATGGTATCAAGCACAATTAAGTCGAAGAGTTCCTGAAGGTGACACACAGTTAACTGACAAGATGACACATGAAGCATCTACTGTGAAGTCCCTGTTATGTCATATACAGGCTTACTTACAGGCTGCTGGAGATTGCTTGAATCAAACCTTGTATCTTAAATCTATTGATGGTCAGTATTAATTTCTATCCCCATGAATAAGGGATACAGTTAATGGGTCTTTGATTTTGTTTTATTTTATTTTTGATTGCCATAGGGTGCATGCTTTAACCAGAGAGGAACAGAAAGAGAGAAAGATGGGATGTGGTCACACTACTGTCCATTTCTCTATCCTACTGAAATTTTGGATGTATGTGCACATGCCCTGGCATGTTTTTCAACCTACCAGGGGCAGGATTTGAACTGTGGTTGGTCATTTAGGAGCCATCTCCCCTAACCACTAGTCTAGAGGATCCAGGGCTGGCCCTGGACTATGCTTAAGGGAGCTGGATCCCATATAGGATGTTTTAAAATTATTATTTTTTTTAAAGTTGGTTGCAATTGTTTGTTTTCCAAAATAATTTTAACTGAGATGTATGCACTGAATTTTAAAGTAAAAATTTTTTTCAGACAGTTGCCACCTGGCAGTCTGCCCACCCTAGAGTCTTTTGGGTGTATTTCCTTTCTTTCCCATTAAATCTTCTTTTCTACCTTAAAAAAAAAAATTCAGTGTTTGCTATGGGGTATGTACACTTACCAGAGAAAGACAGAGACAGAAACAGAGAGAGAGAGAGAAAGTGAGAAATCACACCCTGCCCCTGCTTCCCCCAGGGAGGATGGCCACCCTATAATCTCTTCTACTCCATTTTCCTCTCAGAATTTTGGGCACGCTCACATGCAACCAAGGTGGTTTTTCAAGCCACCGGCTCTGGAACTTGAGCCGTGTTATGGTCCTTGTGGAATCTAGCATCTTAACCTCTATGCCACCTGCTGGCCCTGAAGTAAATTGTTATAATATGATTAACTGTGTCTAACTGCTGGTTAACAACTTCCTAGGAGAGGAGTGTTTCCTATTAGGATCATATGAAAAGTCTGTTCAACTGTGGAAGAAGGCTCTACAGGAAATTCAAGAGAAAGGTAGGAGAATGTTAAAAAATAATATGTGCCATACTAATGGTAGAAACAGTTTAACTTGCCACAAAGCTCAAGAGTAATTCCAGATTTTACAGTGCTCACAATATTTTAATGCCCTAATAGAGTACGTTTTATAGGCAACTTGACTGTGAGAAATACTTGGAATTTGTAGCACAAAGAATTTTTTTCAGTGATCTATCAGTATGTCTCCTCCTGTCACCATTTTTATTTTGGTTTGTGATGAAACTGCATCTGATGGTTGATATAGGAAAAATGATATTTAAATCTTAGATATTTAGAGAGATTGGAAGTATCTAAATGGGAAACCATAGGTTGAATAGTTCATCATCTACTTACAGGCTTAGAGAAACATGGAACTAAGCCTCTTTACCCTTTGATTAGCTCGAAGAATTTCCTGACAATTTAACATATTGTCGGGTTAAGTATGAGGTACATGGAGATTTCGGTAAGGATATAGTGGTGTGAATTCTAGAAACTGGTGATAGATTTTATGATACAGGGCTGATGAGGGTGTGACTGAGATAGCAGATAGCCTCAGATGGTAATCTGGGAGTTGTAATAAAACGTAATCAATTATTATATTTATTTCCTGACTATTGTGTCTGTGTATGCTTTATTAATTCAGCTATTAGGGCATTGGGAAAGTCGTGAGTATTTTTCTGTGCAGAAGTGTGTCATGACTTTCCTGACGACCCAATACTTACAGTATTTATCGAGTACCTGTATACCCAGCACTCTGCTAGGCACTAGTATGACTAGATAAGAAACTTTGCACCCAGGCTGTACAAGATCACTCTTCTCATTGCCTGGTAGGTGCTAGAGGAGCACAGAAAGGCAGCTGGAGTACAAACATCGGTCGGGAAAGCCTAGAGGTGCTGCCATTGAAAACTAGGTAGAAATTGGCCAATTAATGTAGAGAGAGTAGTTTAACAGAGAATATATAGCATTTTAAAACAAAATAGCCCGAGAAACTGGCAGGCTGGTAAATTGCAGGTAGTTTAACAACTAGATTAGGTGATAATATGTATATGATATTGGAGATGGAATGGTGAGAGCCAAAGTGCGAGGTAGAACAGCTGATGAGGGAAAGTCTTGTCTGGCATGCCAAAGCATTAAGATTTTTATTTTGAAGACAGCGGGATCAGTTAAGACACTTTATGTAGGAAAGGGACCTGTTCAAATACATATAGGCCGTACAGATAGATCACTTGGGGGGGGGGGGGGGCAGGTGGAGGTTAAGCAGTGGGGGGGGGGGGGCTGCAGATGGCATAATCTGGGTGTATTGTAACCACAAATAAAACTGAAGTTTTTGTGTTCAGTAATAATGGGTAAGAGAGGCAACTAGTATCTTAGTCCTAAACACCCCTTCTTTTTTTTTTTGGAGAGATTTTTGCCATAGGTCACATGCACTCCCCAGTGACACAGAGATATAGAAAGTGAGAAATCACTCCCCAGGGGGATGTCCACACTGCAACCCCTTCTCCTCCATTCTCCTCTCGAGATCTTGGGCACACATGCACACGTGCCCGGCGTGCATTGTAAGCCACTGGGTCTGGGACTCAAACCACAATCAACTGTGTGGGAGTCCAGTAACATAATCAGTACATCTTCTGCTGGTTCCTAAACACCCTTCATTTAAAGCAGTTGTCAGGGGCTCCTGTCTTGTGGATAATTGTTCCTTCTCCTTCAGTAAATCTTTGTAACCATATTTTTGACTTATGCATGATTCCTTGGGGGTTTTGTGGCATGTTTCCTCAGTTTTATACCACATGTACATGAGGTAGAGGTCATTAGTGGAACTTAGTGCTGAGATGATGAGAATTTGCAGTTTGGAGAAAATCTTAGTCATCCTAGGGATAATGAAGGAAAATAAAGTTCAGAATTTAAAATGAAAAAGAACGAAGTATTGGTAACCTGTTTTCTCAAAATAGATTTCTTATTGAAGTATAAAATAGATATAGAAAAGTTTGCATGCGTGTACAACTTGGTGAGTTTCCACAAGTTTTGCACTCCTGTCTCCTAGCACCAGACTAAGAGCATTCCCATTCCCTTCCTGACATGTTTCTAAGAGAACCTAATTCTTCCTTGTTTCAGGAGGAAGAAGGGCATGTTTTCTTCAGATACGCTATTATCTTTCGCTCTTATACTGCCACCTTTATAGCTATAACTTAAATGATGCTCAAGGATTGTGTGATCAGCTAGTAAGAGAAATACTGGTGTTGTCCCGACTGCCTGTGAAAGAAAATGAAGACTGTGCAGGTATACTTCTTTTAAAAAATTAGTATATTTAATCTTGTTAATTGTATTTATAGGTTTAGGAATGAAATTACTTATACATTCAATTTGGTTGCTCTGCCTCTATGGTGACTAAGTTATATTACAATATATTTTAGATTATCTTCTTCTTAATAGCATGGATCATATTGTTTTGTTTTGTTTTGATATGAGGATCCTTAGGGATTAACAATAATGACCTTCTGAACTAATATAATTGTTTTCTTGTAGCCATATTTGTTGGACATAATATCAGGTACTGGGGCTAGCAGATGGCATGGTGCTTAAGGCATTAGACTCCCACATGGTTCAACATAGTTTGAGTCCCATATCTGGTGACTTGCTTTCTCACTTTCCTTCTCACTCTCTTTCTGTTTCTGTCTCTCTCTGGTGAGAGCATGTGCTTCGTAGCAAATTTTAAAAATAATAATGATAAATAAAATTAAATAAATAATTCTAAAAAATTAGGTACCCAAATGCTTTTTTCTGAATATATTCATATTTTTCTTTAATTCTTGCTTTAAAGTAGCTTAGTAAAGGCATCAAACTTACTTTTTATTAGAATTATTTAATTTAATTTTATTTATTTACTTACTTATTTTAATTTGACCAAAGATGGACAGAGCAAGGAGAAAATCAAGCCACCAGGTTTGGGTCAGCCATGTGGGAGTCCAGTGTCCTTAGCCACCGCATCACCTGCTGACCCCATGAAAATTACTTCCTAAACTATTCTGAGTCTTTCTCTTCTTTAATTCTAAAATACTGCAAATTATCTGGGTTCCTTTTTCCAAGGATATGTATTAAGCAATTGGCCCAGCCTGCTGCAGTGTGATGACTGGAGCCATATGGGAAGATTCCCGTCAACAGGAACATGCCTGTGATCCTTGCTGGAGGGAGAAGGAGGCATGACAGGGTACTGCTAGGGGCCAGTCTCTCTCATGAAGTAAACAAATATATAAATAAACTTTAAAAAATTAGCTAAGCAATTATCAGAGGCAAAAGTGTATATGAAAGAACACATAAAATATTTGTAATGGTTATAGGTGAAAGACTATTAGATGTACATGATATATATGAGTTAATCTAAAAGGCCTAGTATATCAGAATTTTCTAAAGGGAGTCCTTACTGACTTCATTCTTTATCATTTTAGCCACTATTTGTAGTTTTCTTTTTTTTTAAGAGCAATTTTTGCTATAGGGCACATGTGCTCCTTGGAGAGATAGAGACTGAGAGACAGAAAGCTAGAAATCACCCCCACGGGAGGATGACCACACCACGATCCTCCACTCTCCTCTCAGGATCTTGAGCACACATGCACATGCTCCTGGCGTGAGTTTACGCTGCCGGGTCCGGGATTCAAACTGTGGTTGTTGGCATCCCCACCAAGGTCCCATGATGTGAACCCAGGACCTTTTCCATGTTGGTCTAGTTGCAGTACCATTGTGCCAGCACTCTGATTTATAGCTTTATATTTTTTTCTTTAAGATTTTTGCCATAGGGCACATATGTTTACCAGAGACAGAGAGAGACACTGAGAGGGAGGAAACACCCCTGAGGGGGGGATGGCCATGATGAAATCTCTTTTCGTCCATTCTCTTCCTGAGATATCACGTGCCTGGCATGATTTTCAAGCCACCAAGTTCAGGACTTGAACTGCTCCTGGCCATGTGGGAGTCCAACACCTTAATACCATCTGTTGGCCCCTTCCTTTGAAGTTTTTAAAATAATTCATCATAGAAGTTATACATTTTTTTTATAGCAGTTGCCAATGTATTCTTTTTTTTTTTTTTTGGGGGGGTTTTCCCTATTGGGGCGAATTTTTGGAGAGGTTTTCGCTATAGGGCGCATGCGCTCGCCAGACAGACAGAGAGAGACATAGAGTCAGAAAGCAAGAAATCACCCCCAGGGGGGATGGTCACGCCGCAATCTTTTCTCCTCCATTCTCCTCCTGGGATCTTGAGCACGCATGCACACGTGCCCGGCGTGAATTTTAAGTCACCGGGTCTGGGACGTGAACCGCGGTCGACTATGTGGAAGTCCAGTAACAGCCATTACGCTAACTGCTGGTTCCCTTGCCAATGTATTCTTAAGTTGTTTTCAGTAATAATTTTTATGGTTTAAACATTAGTTAGTTTGCAATTTTGTGCAATGCTTTCTATGGAAACTCCTTATTCTCCTGACAGATCTTGGGCAAGTGCTAGAAGCAATCAAATAATCTAAACTTACAGCAAATGATTTGTGAGTAATCAAAATTCTTTGCCAAGGCCTATTGCTTAACTGAAACACAAGGAAAAAAGATTCAAATACTATTATTCCTTACTCCAAACTGGCTTGATATTTGTGATGATGAGGGAAAGCATTCACAAAAATGCTATTTTTTCCTCTCATTCAATCTTAAATAAGTTAAGGGGAAAAGTTAATATGCTAATAATATCAAACTCTTTAAGTGGCATGATTATAAAATACTCTTCCAATTCAACTATTCTCTTCTTTAACAGAGCAGGTTACCTCTTTTCAGCAGAATTATTTGTAATGAAATGCAGTAGGGCTGACCTCAGTTGACTAACCATTACCACTGCCATGAATAATTTCCCTTCCTTGGGACCAGCAGTTAGCATAATGGCTGTGTCGCTGGACTCCCACGTAGTCGACCACAGTTTGAATCCTGGACCCAGTGGCTTAAACTCAGGCCGGGTGTGTGTGCATGCGTGCCCAAGATCCCGAGAGGAGAATGGAGGAGAAGGGATTGCGGCGTGGCCATCCCCCCTGGGAGGTGATTTCTCGCTTTCTGTCTCTCTGTCTTTCTCTGTCTGTCTGCTGTCTGGCGAGCGCACGTGCCCTGTAGCAAAAACCTCTTCAAAAAAAAAAAATTTCTCTTCCTTGTTAATTTGTATAATCATTAAAAGGGTGAACTTCCAAAAAAAAAAAAAAAGAAGTAATACATACTCATTTTAGACAATGTTTGGAATATAGAAAAATATATGTTAACTGCTTTTGGTCTGGGGCCTTTCAGTACATATATAGTTGATCCTCATATCTGTAGGTACTGCATCTGTGGTTCAGCCAACCTCAGATTGAAAATGTGTTGTTGCTGATGTGTAGTATGTAGTTTAGGTCTATGATGGTTACACAGCATCTACACTGAACATTTCATGTATATACTACATTTTATATGAGGGACTTGAGCATTTGCAGGTTTCAGTATCTGGAACCAATCCCCCCAGATGCCAAGGCACAACTATATATGCATATGTGTATATTATCAGAGTTGTACAATCTATTTTGCAATTTTTTTTTTAAGAGATTTTTGCTCTGGGGCATGTGCGCTCACTGGAGAGACAGAGACGGAAAGCGAGAAATCACACCCCAGGGGAGATGACTATGCTGCAATCCCTTCTCCATTCTCCTCTCTGGATTTTGGACATGTACACACACTTGCCTGGTATGAGTTTTTTTTTTTTTTTTTTTTTTTTTTTAAAGAGTTTTTTTTTATGGAGTGGGACTCTC